CATGTTTTTGACTCAGTCCAACTGATACAAATGCACTGAAACAAATACTCTCTGTTGTAATGTAAATATTGATTGTAAAAGCAAACGACTGATCCGTGAATGATCCATATGCATCATGGGAAACAACAACAAACCAGCAACTCATGCCTTCATTACAGACAGCAGTTGCCCTGGTCAGCTTGTCAGCTGTTCATGATTAGAGCAAAAAGTAGAAGAAGGCTTTTGCAGCTATTGCTGATACTAACTTAAAGGGGGGATTTCAGCAATTTATAGAATTTTAGCATTATTCACTTGTTGAGATATAAACGAACACATTGATTCAGAGGGGTTTCGATGTGAAATGGTTCATTGCAGAGAGCTTACTGACTCAGATTTCTTTACAGTGGTGGTGATAGGAACCAGGGTTCATGATGTCTACAACACAAATGTGGCCGCCATTTTATTTACTGTCCAAAATGACCAGTGAACCTACACGTCATCTGAGTGTATATATTCACTGTTGGTAAAATAGGAGTGAGTCTGCAAAAATGTGTTTTCTAGAAGGTACTATTTTGCCTCCAAACTCCCTGCACGCCCCTTTCCATCATGAACGGTTTCCAAAAAAATACCCTTTAGACTAAATCTTATCTCAGAACTAATGAATTTTGAAAAATAGGTGGAATTCCTCTTTCAAGCCACTGCTGCTAATAATGGATGATGATGATGGAAATATGTACATGCAAGTGGAAAAAACTGAACTCTAATCTGCTCCCATTACAGTCACATGACCACAGAGGTCTGAAAGCATCAGATCTGTGTCACATTTATCACGTAGATCTTTTTTTATGCTACAACAACCTTGTAATGTGAATTTGCTGAGCACTGTCAAGAAATGAAGAGCATACTGGTGCAAATTGATGTCATGAACGCCTCTTCCTTTAGTTCCTGCGCATGTAAAGCAAAACGATCATGCTTTTCTCTTGCTCTTGATCACAGCAAGCTTACAGGGTTGGTGTTATGTGTATATGTTATATACTGAAAGTGCATTACAACATATTCTACTTGGATTGTTTATGTCAGTTGAATATACTGTCTAGTTAGTAAAACATAATAGAGAATGAAAAATATAAATATATTTTTATATACACTGATCAGGCATAACATTATGACCACCTCCTTGTTTCTATGCTCATTGTCCATTTTATCAGCTCCACTTACTATATAGGTGCACTTTGTAGTTCTACAGTTACAGACTGTAGTCCATCTGTTTCTCTGCATACTTTGTTAGCCCCCTTTTACCCTGTTCTTCAGTGGTCAGGACCCCATGGACCCTCAGAGCAGGTACTATTTGAGTGGTGGATCATTCTCAGCACTGCAGTAATACTGACGTGGTGGTGGTGTGTTAGTTTTTAAACAGCTCAAGTGCCACTGCTGGACTGAGAATAGTCCACCAACCAAAAATATCCAGCCAACAGCGTCCTGTGACCACTGATGCAGTGATCACTAGAGGATGTGCAGCTGCAAACTGTGCAGCAGCAGATGAGCTATCATCTCTGACTTTACATCTACAAGGTGGACTGACAAGGTAGGAGTGTCTAATAGAGTGGACAGTGAGTGGACACAGTGTTTAAAAACTCCAGCAGCACTGCTGTGTCTGATCCACTTGTACCAGCACAACACACACTAACACACCACGTCAGTGTCACTGCAGTGCTGAGAATGATCCACCACCCAAATAGTACCTGCTCTGTGAGGGTCCATGGGGGTCCTGACCAACAGGGTAAAAGGGGGCTAACAACTCTCTTGGGCTACAGCAACTGTAGAACTACAAAGTGCACCTATATAGTAAGTGGAGCTGATAAAATGGACAATGAGCGTAGAAACAAGGATCAGTGTAAATTAGTAGTATTTTAGTCCATGAATCAGGCCTCTAAAGCTGAGAACCAAGGCACACCTCCTTAAATTGAAATGCTTTTATTGTGATGGCAGATTAATTCTAATCGCCATAATCATCATCTCATAGAGGTCTTAATCAGAAGCTTTTTAAAGGGCCCATATCTCACATTTGTCTTGCATTAATATATATATAATATATATATATATAATATATATATATATATATATATATATATATGTAATGTTTGTGTGGGTTTCTGTACCACAAATCAGTCATACGTTTTTTTGTACATGTACATTTTTCAGCCTCTCTTTATGCCTTAGAACAGCCATGTCAAACTGGGGAACTTCTGGGCCAAAGTGCTTTGGAGATTTACACTCATCTAACGCTCTGAATTCAGTTCATGAAGGCCTTGCTAATCAGCTGACGAGCTGAATCAGGTGTGTTTAATGAGGCAGTGTGCTGAAGTCTGCAGTGTTTTGGCCCTTGAGGACTGGATCCTGACACGTGCCTTAAACAGGCTGTTTTGTTACTGTGCCTTTAAGACTGATGTATGTAAATGAGCTCTGTTCTGTTTGGCTGCCTTGAATTGTGTCTCATCCAAAAAGAAGGCCGGGCTAAAATACTCCTAAATGCTGGACGAGCTGAATGATATACTTGAGTTAAATTAGATATATTCCTTGCTCAGTGGGTAAGAGAGAGTCCAGACATTTGATGCAGCAACAGCAACAGGGTTTATACAGCACATTTTAGCATTGGACATGTACACCATATTGAGGCTAACATGTTTTAACAGTCAGCGTTCACTGGCAGACTGATATAAATGATCTGTGTTGGCTGTCCTTTTATTGTGGCTCATTCAAGAAGCAGTTTGTGTTGGACACTCCTTATAACTTCAGTGTAGGCGGAACTGGCAGGTATATGTGAAGGTTTTTCACACCAAAAACAATAAATTCAAAACTGTTTTTTCAGCTTTTTCCATATATTAATTGTATCGATGGCAGAGTGACTGGTGCATTTTGAAAATGAAACCATTTTTACATGCTACATCAAACTCTACACACTTAAAATGATGGTTCTTCAAGGGTTCTTTAGTAAAGAAAATGGTTCTATATAGAACCATGAACACTTAAAGAACCCCTTGCAAGATTAAAGAGTCCTTTGCATGGTGAAAGTGTTCTTCAGATTGTTGGAGAATGTGCTGTAGGTGGTTCTATATAGAATCTTTTTAAAAAGGGTGCTACATAGCACCAAAATAGTTCTTTTATTATTAGAAGCTTGACATTGTTACAATAGAAGATCCCTTTTGGTACTATATAGAACCCTTTCCAAAACGTTTCTATATTAAACCATCTACAGCACATTCTTCAGCAGACTGAAGAACCCTTTCATGATGCAAAGAACCCTTTGCATGATTAAAGGCTTCTTTGCATTGCGAAAGCGTTCTTTAGATTGACAGAGATTGTGCTGTAGATGGTTCTATATAGAACCTTTTTGAAAAGGGTTCTATATAGCAGCAAAAAGTGTTCTTCTATTATTACAAGCTTGACAATGTTACAATAGAAGAGCCCTTTTTGATACTATTAAAATGTTCAACATAGAACCATTTACAGCACATTCTCCTTCCATCTGTAGATGCTCTATGCTTTCACAACGCATGTTCTAAATAGAACCATTTTCTTTACTGGAAGAATTCTTGAAGAACCATCATTTTTAAGTGTGTGCTCTTCCAAAAAAAGCGTGGAAAAATCAGTGTTTCCATGAAGTGACCCCTGTAACACATCTGTACTGAGTGTGTAGGTGAGTGTCAGTACTTCATGACATGTCATACATACACACTGTTCTCACAAAAATAGATACGTGTCCTCCGGCTGCTGTTACGTGCATGGAAACCCAGTTTCACTGTGTAATGGTTTATTCATATCTCTGATCTTGGCATCACATGTTTATATTTACTATCTGTGTCAGTCTTGTGTAACACGGTCATTACCGGAGGCTACTGCAAACATCTCCACCTGGGCTATATATAAACCACATACAACATATATTCTGTTTATAACCTGTATGTGCCATTTTCTAGGCCTCTTCTGTGACTGCAGCAGCTTCTGTTTTTAACCTGTATCTGCTAATTTCTGCTTTTTGCTGTAGTTAATCAGCTCAGACATGTTTGGATGTAAAAAAATATGCCCTGTTTCGCACTGGAGCTTTGAGGCTAATGTAGATAAAACGGAAGCTTATGCTTCAAAATTAGCATCGTGCAGACAGCACGCCTAAATCATCACACAATCTCCTCAATCCGTCTTGTCGGTTAATCTCAAATAGATTTGCACGTGTGGTTTCTGACGTGGTGTGACACTGTTATCTATCTTAATGGACAAAAGCACAAACAGCATTCAAGCTTCTACATACTTTGAACGCCACACAGGTCTTTGCTGTTTGAGTGCACATGGAGAAGAAGGTTAAAATTCTGTAAATTTGATTTGTGGCTAAACTGTCAGTATTGAATCTGGATGTGGGGATAGGTGACAAGTCTTATAAGGAAGGCTTTTTCTCCATTAGTCCTTGTGTGGTGTTGATGTGTTTGTTACTCAGTGGTCTGGTGGACCCACTGCATTATTGTTTTTTTTAATCAATACAGCCATAACAATTTATGTAAAGTTTAAAATGTCATAAGTGTCCAGCGTAGGGTTCTCCTTTAGCAGCTGTAGCCAGTCAGCAGCCTGTCCATGTTGTCCACCCTCACAAACACACACACACACACACACACACACACACACATACAAACACATACACACAGAGACACACACAGACACTAACAGCAGGCCATGTAGGAGGAGAACAGAGTGAAGGGACACAGCACCTCCACACTTTTATTCCCGCGGGTTCACCCCAACACCACGTGTGATATAAATGTGTGGGGGGTGTACAGTGTAAAGTCATTTAAAATGTGTTATTTTGTATGTTAGTTAGGAAAAAAATCATCAAAGTTAGGATGAAGAAATAAGCATTAATTTGTTTTGTAAATTTAATTCCAGATTCACTGATTATTGTTCACAACAGGTTGTTAGTCTGTATTTATTTTGAATGAAAACTTATTCATCTCTGTTTTTTTCTGTAAATGCAGAGGATTCGACAGCAGAATGGCTCTATGAAAGAGTTGTACGGTCTGACTGCAGAGACTGGAGGAATCAAAGAAAATGTGAAGAAAAACCGCTACAAGGACATCCTGCCCTGTATGTAGCATCACACTGACATAATTTTATTCACACATCGCTTTATTCAGTAGCTGTTCTTTAAGATTAAGCATTTTTGTTGAGTGTAGATCTTGGTTATTAGGTGGGTTTCCCAACTGATCATAGTGTTTAAAGGGAAAGATTTTTCAAAAATTCTGCATAATTCAGGCAGTGAGGTCTAAACAAGTTCATTCACAGTGGTTTAATGTGACTGTGTGGTGGTGATAGGAACTTGTATGTGTCTTCAGAGTGTTTTGTGTGTAATGTTGATGATGGTAAAATAATGATAAATCTGAAAAATACTCTTTAGGCAACAATCCTGTCACAACTCAGTCATCAGGCAGTGTATTCATAATGATTTAATGTAATAACTTTCTGCGAGGGAGCTTTCTATGGGCATTAAACTCTTTGAACTCAGTAAATTTCTTTAGAATGATCTATTTCACATCAAATCAGCACTTTGAATGACTTTTTTTACACCTCAGTGATTTAATTATGCAGAAAAAAATGCTTTTAAGATCTGCTTTGAAGGACTGTTCAAACTCACTCTGCTATCGTATTATGATCCTTTGATTTAGGATGCTGTGGAGAATAAGACCCATTCCATTAGTTTAGAGCTGGTTATCACTCTCACTAGTGCATTTCTGTCATGATTTGGATACAGTCAGTTCTGAATATATTTACATATATTTACATACATATGAACAGATGCGTCTGAACTTTAGCTACACTGTAAAAAATGAGAGGTCAGCTCAACTTAAAATGATATAGTAACTGATTACATGTCTTTTCTTCTCCCAGCTATTGTTTGTAGATCTGCATCTCAGTTAGATGAACAAAACTGAATTTGCTTCTTTTTACTCAGTTTCCCCACTAGCTGGCGCTCCTTCTATCATACAGTCCCAGGCATATTTTCCTTTTGAGCTTCCAGATATGGACTGCTGTGGTATTAATGGGATTCAAACTCACAACCTCCTGACACTGGGATGAATTTTTAGACAGTTGCACCATATCAGACTACGCCATGCTTTAAAGTGAAAACAAAAGTATTCTCTCCAGTGTATTAAACAATTGTAGCCACAAAATCTGAGTTGCTTAATGTGTTCCTGAGTGGTGCAGTGGACTAAGCTGTCACCCCAACAGGAGGTTGTGTGTTTGAGCCCCAGCAATGCCGATGTCACCCATAAGTACATACCAAAGAGGAAAAATGTCTAGCAGGATTGTGTGATGGCTAGTGGGGCAGTTAAGTATAAACACCCAAGTTCCTTTTATTTACCTCAGTGAGTTACAGAACCAAAAAATTAAAAGAACTTTTGACTCAACTGAGAAGTTTAAATTGTGAGAACTCTGGTGTCCTCAAGAAGAGCCAACTCAAGAAAAGTCATGTAATCAGTTACTATATCATTTTAAGTTGAGCTGACCTCTCATTTTTAACAGTGTACAAGCGTCCAGCACCCATGAAAACAATCAACTTTCAGTTTGTTCCACCGCTTTGGCCGACAGCAACATTTAGAAACATTTAACTTTTCATAGAATGGCAATGGATTTTTTCAGTGCTACGCCACTGAATAATGTACGGGGTTTGCCGTCATCTGTCTACCATCATAATGTAAAGCAGCATTAGTCTGAAGCATTTGAGCCATGAAAAGTGAAAGATGTGAGTTGCCTTACTGAAAGTATGGAGTAACAACTTCCTATTTCAAAAAAGCAAAGCAAAATAGTGGGTTAATGTTTTCATGCTTCATGAAGAAAAACTGGAATATTAAACCAAGTGTGGGACGTTAATTCTGTACTGCCATAATGAGTCTGTTGAGTTGTCCCAAAGATGACATAGAAAACCACTAATGGTGTTGTGTGAATCTTATTGTTCTCAATCTGATCTCATTAATAATACGGGTCTGGCTGATCGGAAGATTTTGTGAAAACAGTTTTTTTTGTGTTATAACATTATTTTTATGCTAAATGTTAGCATTAGCATAAGAATAACAAACTTATCAATACTGTCAGATTCTCTACAGAGAACATACTTTTGCACATTTTAACGCACAGTTACTGTTTAGTTGCTGAGTTTAAGATATTGGGGTGTGGCTGAAGCATAAAACATGGCCTGTGAATAAGTTATGGCACATTTTATATATTTTATGTTTTTCCAACAAGTTAAATTCAGCAAATAAATAAAAATTGTGCACTAAAATTTGCATTAAAATGCTGTATTTAAGTTCCCTCTAGAAGATGTTTTAACTTGTATTCACTTAGAAATTCAACAGAACATGTCATTTGACCCGAGCTGTTCAAACCCTTGCTCTTATAATGTGCCATGATGAGGAAATGTTAAATCAGTTGGTGATTCAGTGTATTCCTGACTGAACAGTGCAGAAGCTTAACACTAACGCTGTAACACGGGATGCTTTTTTCTTCTCAGATGACCAGACCCGTGTCATTCTGAGTCCAATACTGCCTGACTACAGTTCTGATTACATTAATGCCAATTTTATTAAGGTAAAGCAGTCATGGGAGCTCTCACAGTGCACTTAACATGAGCATCACATGATAGGAACACACAGAAATATGTAAAACAGTTGTTTTAGCTTTGTCATTATTTACTCAGTGCACGTTTACACAAAACACAAGATGAAACACAGAGGAATTTGTATGCACAGTGGCCCCAGAAGGCTTTTTGACACTTTAACCATTGTTAAACTTTAATGAAGTTCTATGAGTTACATCATAAGATGTGTAATAAAATGGCATTTGTTTCAGAGGGAAACACAACGATCGATAATAATCTGAAACAAAGCAGATACTTTTTGAAAGAATACTTTGCCGAAAAAAAGATGGCATCTTCATCTGTTTAAAATAAACACCGCTTGTTTTGACAATTTGTTTCCTAATGATTTAAAAAAAATTTTTAAGATTTACACAAATATCCAAAAACTTTTTGGGGCCACTGTGTCTATGTATTTATTTTGGTTCCAACTTCTGTTACATTTCTATGTTTCTTGTTATGATCCATTTTGTCCACTAGGGGGCAACTCAGAATAAGACATACATTGCCACTCAAGGTCCTCTCAGTTACACGGTGGTGGATTTCTGGCGTATGATTTGGCAATATAAAATCCAGGTAAATTACTCAGGTGTATGCTTAACGCAAGCAGGTGATATAAGGCAAATGTATATTTAAATATTTGATGTTTGTAGCCTAAAAATAATGTGGAAGTAATGTTTACACTACCTCATTGGTTTGAATGATTCTGATTGTCTCTTGTGTTTGTAGGTCATAGTCATGGCGTGCAAGGAGATAGAGATGGGAAAGGTAAAGCGCTTTTTGTTCCTGTGCAAAAAGTCAGTAAGCTGTCTGTTTTGAGCATATAATCTACAGGTTTATTATTCAGCTATTAGTCTTAAGATTATTATGTATTATTCAGTAACTGCTATGAAATCTGCTGTTTATTATGCATTTTTTGTTATGAAAGTTTTTTTAGTTTGTTACATCAACAAAACAATAACAAAGGCAACAGATAATCATAACAAAACAAAGGAAAAAAATCCAAAAAGTAGTGGAGGGCAGAAGTACAGTTGTATATTATACTCTTAAATATGGCAGTTGAATATGGCAGTTTTGGGCAGATTTTGAGCACAAGTTTTGAGTTTAACATATTAGACATAAAAAAACAGAATATAGATCTGCCATAACTTTTTGCACAGGCCACATTTTATGTTTTGTTTTTCCCCAGTATGTTTAATCCAGCAAATAAACAGCAATTGTGCATTAAAATGTGGAGAAGTGTTCTCTATAGAGGATGTGTTCACTTATTTTCACTTAGAAAATCAACAAAACATATAATTTGAATGAGATGCCCAAACTTTTATCAGTTTAGATTAAAAGATTGTTCATATTTTAGTCCATACGCCGCATAAAGTCCAGGAATTGTGATGATTGCATATTAATCCAGTTCTGTAAAGTTGTTTCCTCAGCAAAGATAAAACCAGCGAAATAATAATTTACTTTGGTTTAACTGTTTGCCCAGATTAATTTGGATTGTCATTCATGAGACACAGACATGAATTAGATTTGTGATGTTATTGTATTTTTTTATTAAAGTGAGTGAATTGAAGGGTGGATCAGCTTACAGACCCTTGCATTTTTAAACCCCCTTAAATGACCAGGGCCCACTGGCAGGCCCAAAGTTTCACACACTTCAATAACCTAGTAATAGCTCAGCCAGTTTGCATTGAAGTTCCTGTAGTTAGTATGTAACAAGCCTGGGATTTTAGGAGGTTAAAGGGTTAAAAGTAATATCAGGATTTAGCAAATATTTTTGATCTATTACACTAAATGATGTGTGACACTACTGCACACCCACTCTTTTAACCTCTCTGTGCAGAAAAAATGTGAGGCCTACTGGGGTTCTTTAGCAGAACCATCCACTTTTGGTCCCTTCACTGTCTCAACGGTAAGCTCTTTAATCATGAAAATGAGAATCATGAAAAAATCTTTGTTATTGAGGCACATTTTAGTGCTTTCAGTCATAAATTAAGTTGCTCTCCAAAGGGGAATGCCACCATTTTTTTAAAATGTCTGCTTAATTAAATAGTTAAGATGTATACAAAGTGACTCAGAGTGGTTTGATGTGAAATGCTGTGTTCTACACTCTTGAAAAAGATGGCTCTTCAAGGGTTCCTTAGTAAAGGCATTGGTTCTATATAGAGCCATGAACACTCAAAGAACCATTTGTATGCTTAAAGGATTCTTTGCATGGTGAAATTGCTCTTTAGATTGATGGAGAATGTGTTGTATACGGTTGTACTTAGAACCTTTTTGAAAAGGGTTCTGTGTAGCACCAAAAAGGGTTCTGCTTTTGTTATGATGTCAAGCCTGTGACTGTAGAAGAACCTTTTTTGGTGCTACAGGTTTACCCTGGCCTGGTTTCTATATAGAATCATATACAACGCTGTATTTGTGTTGGCTGTGAGTCTGTGTGTTTCTCTAAACATTTTGAATGACTTTGTTTGTCTCACCCTTTGAATTATGCAGAAATGTAGAAAAATGTGTGAAACCTTTAATTTGTCAAATATCTCTGCATTCAATGTATGATGAAAGTGTTCATGGTGGCCTTTGTTGACACAGCGCAAATATTTACCAAACACGTGCAGCCCTGGAGGAAGTGCTGTTACTGAAATTCCACTCTGTGTTGTCATTGTTCTGACAGGTTGAAGAATCGTACCCAAATGAGGAAGTGATCGTGCGAACGTTGACTGTGAAATGCGGTGATGTACGTGTGTCCTGCTGTTCTATGTGTGGAAGTTTAAAATGTGTTGAAATAGTCTTACGCCAGCCAAATTGTGAATTTCATGTACTGTACTGAAAGAGAATATTGAGTAATAATGTAATAACTGGAAATAATTTAACAATAAAAGCAAAGCAAAATAGATAGCATAAAGTGCTTCATGAGGAAAAAAGTCCAAGTGCTGGATGTTTCTTAATCCCCTAAATCTCAGGGTCTGTGTGTGGGCCCACACTTCAGTCCTTCAGGTTATAGTTGCATAACATGCATATTAGTTTACTAGCAGCTACTAAACAGTTTAGAGTGATGGATAATATGTGATGAGAATAATAACTGAATAAGAAGGTTTAAGGGTTTAATTCCAGGTGCTGATGATATGACAGAACAATGTAATTACCTTGACAAGTTATGTCCCTGCCAAATTGGATGTAGTGGGGAAAAAATCAAAAGAAAAAGCATTGTATTCTATTTTTTGATATCATTTTACCCAGAGTTTAATACATTATCATTTTATACAGTGTTCTGTACTGCAACATCATATCCCTCAGCCTCGTGGGTTTGACAGATTTCACAATTTTGTATTGTTTTCATGTTTCCATTCATCAGTTTTCTCTCACTGCAATACACAGGATGCATTATGCAAATACATCACATAATCCCTGTGGCATCAACCAGTCATGACTGCTAGACACAGGTTTATTGGCTAATAGCATTGATAGCCAGCATTGGTGTAACTCTTACCTTAGTCATTGAATAAAATCATAAAGAAAACAGCAGTTCTATCTTCATTCAGCTCAGAATGGAGGCCAACGACAAGTTATTACTCTTTCAGCCAGAGGAATGAAGTCAAACTGACATGAGCTGTGTAGGTAGTGAGGTAAACACCTTACTAACTTTAGCTTTTTGCTTGTAATTTTCCTACTCTGGCATGTCATTTCTGTCATTTTAGTAATGCATTCTAATAATGATTTGAAGTCATTACAGTTACATGAAGCAGTACTGTTAGCTGTCTGGCTTCTTTCTGCATTTATCAGCTAACAGCAAAAAAAGAAAAAAACATTTCAAAACAGCTGCTCCCGAAAATCTGCCTCAAAGCTGTTGTACTTTCCAAAGCTCTCCCCACCTTAAAGATACATCCTGAGAAGGGGATTTTCTTAGTGTTCAAACTGGCAAATCTCACTTTTGGAACTATTGCAGCACTGCATGTTTACAACAAATATAATGATGGTTAAATTCTTTCTTTCAAAATCATTTCTATCAAAATGCCCCTTTAAGAAAAACAGAACACCTTAATGTATGTCGTGCAAAAGTATTGTGATACTCTAATGGTTATCGGTATCATGATATTATATTTTTGTCAAATTTCCCACCTTTTGTTAGTTTTATGCTGCAGTAATGTATTTGTATCATGACCATCCTTGATTCAGAATGTATTTCTATGTGCAGGAAACTCGCTCCGTGTCCCAGCTCCAGTACACAGCTTGGCCGGATCACGGAATTCCGTATGTGCCGGATGGCATTTTAGGAATGATGGAATTGGCCAACATCAGACAGGCTAACCACACAGGACCTATGCTTATCCACTGCAGGTTTGTCACACACAGACGCGCTAATCAAACCATCAACTGCGTTCTCACTCGCACACTCCCAAACTGGCCGTCCTGGCCATGACTAACCGACTGTTTTTCACCACCTCTGACAAATGACCCATCTGCCCATGAAAATTCATCAGAGTGAGACTCTCTCTGTACCTCCCCAGCCCCATGCATTTTAATCCCACCATTTGAATGAAGCGAGACATGTTAAATATTCAGCACCTGATGTAGCGCCGCGACAGCCAGTTAACTCGCGGACTTCTGCACAATTTCTCTCATTAGCCTCGCGCTGTAATGTATGGGAGCTGCTCTGTCCGACAATATGGACCGCAGCTCCTCGCTGACCTCAAGACTGCGGTGCAGGCAGGAATAGGCTCGATTGTGTTGAGTGATTGGGGTTGATTGCCTTTGCTTTTTCAGTGCTGGCTGTGGAAGAACTGGGGTGATTTGTGCCATTGACTACATTAACGACCTGCTGCATGAAAAGGTATGAAATGTTCCAAAAATGATTAATGAAATGATGAGTATATAAGAATGTTTGTTCTATGTTCTATATTATTACCACTATGCTTCATACTTTAAAGGTGTAGTCAGTGATTTAAACCAAGACAGTTGAATTGATGTAGAAAAGTGTTGTACAAATGACAATGTACAGTGCAGGAAATTGATGCTAAGTAGAAATATTTATATATGTGCTTATATAACTTCATGTTTTTTTTTTATCTAACAGAAAATTGGTGACGGTTTCAACATTATGGACATAGTGCTGGAGCTGAGGAGACAAAGGCCATCGGCCGTTCAGACTAAGGTAGAGTTTGGGAACATGACTAACTTGCTGTTGTTATTCATTAATGATAAAAGATTCAAAAGTGCAATCACTTATGTAAATCTATGACCAAATTTATACTTATGACCAAATCGCTGCTGTCGGAACAAAACCTTGTATCTCCAGTTTTGTCATTTTTCAGTTTTTGGCATAATTTGAAAATGCCTGTTGTCCTTTACATTATGGGTGAAGTTCATGATGAATGGACCAAAAGAAACTGCCCAGAATTACTTGCAAAAAAGTCTGGTTCCATTGACTTACATTAAAAGCACAGTACATTTTTTCCTTTTCCTGTAAAGTTATCATTTTGTAGATATGAGGTTTTGTTTCGACAGCAGTGAAATATTTGAAGACTTTATGTTTTTTGGAGTATTATGCTCTTCTTAACAATCTAAGCGAAAACACATGAAAAAATGCTTTATTAAGGTCAGATGATGATTGTGTGTTCATTTAGGAGCAGTATGAATTTGTGTTTCACACCGTGGCTCAGATATTTGAGAAGGCCTTGGGAGAACCTTCACACCCTCGCCAAAACCAAACCAAGGTAGGGTTTAAATATATTGCTCATTAAAGAAACACCAACTGTGCCGTATACTCCTAACGTAATCTTAGTTTCTAGCTTTACTATTTTGTTAATACACTCATTGCTGATTTTATTAGGTATACCCAGGGCTCCATTTGAGGGGGGCATGCAAAGGGGATGCTGTCCCCCAGTCAAAAAAAAGACAAAATGATCCCCTTATAAACCTCCCATCCTTCCTTTCCATCCACTTTGGATTACTGTCATTATATCACTTAAGATTTCTGCTATCTAGGTTTTAATTACATCCATATTAGATATTTACGTGCCTCGTTGCCTGAAATCCACAAAAAAGTCATTTTAAGATTTTCACAAGTATACCTACAGTTCATAACCACTACCGCACCATCCGCCTTCAGAAATGTTACAATTAGGTCACTGGATATACCTACCATATGTGTGTGCTTACTGACTGTAGCTCATGTTGCTATACTTTTTTTTAGCCCCTGTATCTGTCCAGAAATAGCTATGGACCACCACAAGGCCACTGCTGAGGACTAAAGTGTTGCTGTGCCTGATACACTTGCACCAGCACCACACGCCATGCCACTACCGTGTCAGTGACAAAAAACATCTGGTTGGCAGTGGTCCTGTGGTGGTCCCTTTCCCCTTATGGACGGGAAAAGAGAGGGGGGCTGATAAATTGTGCAGCAACAGTAGGTAATTGTAAACCTACTTCTGTGGCAGGTGTACAGTACTGTGCAAAAGTCTGAGACTGCCTTCCCTTTATTTTTATTTCCAGTCAAAACGGTCACTATGTACAAGCTCATTTTTCGGGAACTTGCATATAAAATAATCCACTTGCATAGGAAGGGAAAAGTCAAAGCAAAATAAGTGAAGAAACGGGAGTTTCCAAAAGTGGAGTTTAACAAGTTATAGAGAAGATAGGGCTGAAAAGCTGGGTGCAGTTGTATTTTTAAACAATTAGCAAAGATAAACTTTTAGGGAGAAAGATTGGTAAAATAAATTAATAAAGTAAGATGTCCTAATGAGCTGGCACAAAAGTAAAAACCAAGATCTGTTTCAGATCTGAGAAAATTCACAGGTGTTTCTGTCCATCCTTCCACTGTGAGAAGACAACTCAGTGTTAGGGGTCTAAAAGGATGTAGCTGTCAAGCCTCACTGAGAAAAGGAAGAAGAAAATTTGCAAATCAAATAAAGAAGCTGCTAATATCGTCAGAACAATTAACTGACAACGCCAGAGTCCAGACCTCAACATAACTGAACTTGCATTGTTAGAAGCAGAAAATGCAACCAACTTCTAAGACTGAACTTTGGAGGTGTTGAATAATATTTCTGCAGGTTTCTTTGAAAAACTGAAAGCAAGTATCCTGAAAAGAACGGAAGCTCTGTTAAACAACATATTTATTAATTTTCTGCCTTGTCTCCGGAGTCTAAAAATGAATATGTTGTACTTGACGGCTGTTTTCACTGGAAACTAAGTAAATTAAGAGTGGTCTCTGACTTTTACGGAGTACTGTAGGCTTACAGTAGCCCATTTGAGGTTGCTGTACAAAACACACGTATGTGGTTATAGTTTATAATGTAATGGCCAATGAATGTATGTACAAGCCAGATGCAGATCAAGTAAGGTCTGTAATTACCATCATCAGCCCCTAGATGGTAGACACTGTAAGAGAACAGTGGTGTTGTAACCCCAGTGTAGTGTTTTCCTTGTGATTTCACGTCTTGTTTATCAGTTGTCAGGTGAGTTGAATCAGATGTATTAGAGTAGAGAAACGCTTAAGTTTGCGGTGCAGGTTTTAAATTAGAATTGAAAACTTATAATGTATATGTACTTATACTGTAATATAACAGTAGCGTCCTCTCATTCTTAATTTCAGACAGGGTTTTGGTAAACTTTTAGAGTTTTATTATCAGCAAAATAAAAACTGATACTGCACATAATCTTCTTCTCACTTCTCACATTTTATTGCTTGAGCGCTTCATGTTTGAGGCCAAATCTGCCAAACCCTTCTTCTGTGTATAACTCACTTTACTTCCTCAAGTAAGTCATCTTATGCTGAGAGCGCCTAAATAAAACTAACTGCAGCAGGAAACACACCAACTGTGTGCTTCCTCTATGCAAATTCTGGAGCAGAAGTCTGAGTAACACCCTGACGGACTGCTCTTCACATTACTGCTGCAGCGGCACTAACAAGAGCCTTTATTCTCTAGTGATATCTGTTTTGTTTTCTTCCATTTTTTTGGAAGTTTGCGGATTCTCTATCTATCTACTCCAATGTGGTTCCTCCAAAGCCAGCACTGAGGTCAGCCTCCATCGGCAGCAGCAACCCTGACCCGAAAACAAGGTAATATCACGCACACACATACAGAGTCAGTCTCAGCATGTTGGTTGTTTGTGGCCTCTGTGATTAAGACCACAGGAAAAAGCACAGTGAGCGGCCAATTTAAGGAAACTGCATGCTACAAAACATCCAGTAAACAGGAAAAAATAGCCAAGATTAGGACTGTCAAAGATGTTTCTGGCTCTCTGGGGACAGAATTCAAGCTCACTCTTCTGCTGATTGCGTGCTCTCTTATCCACTGCTTAACACTAGTGTCGTGTGCAATATACTGCATCACCCAAATCCAAAGTTTTAATTGAGTGTGGGTAAGGGTGGAAAATATGACAAATACATAATGTTAGGATAAACCTTTATGATATGTATGACTGTTTTGTTTATCTGAGGTTTGTAAGTTGGAACAAATGAAAATAACCAGCAAAATAAAAGCAACATATTTAGAAAGGGCTGAAAAGCTGAGTGCAGTTATATTTTTAAATAACCTTTAGCAAAAATAAACTTTTAGGGAGAAAGATTGGTGAAATAAATTGATGAAGTCGGATGTCGTAATGGGCTGGCACAACATCAGCTACTTGTTACTGTGCAGTTCATACTTTGTAACCTTGGAGCTGGCAATGCAGACGAAGAGACAGGATACAAGTGCGGGTGTTCTTTATTTGATTCAGTCTCCGGTGAAACAAGAAAGCAAACAGGAACATAGAGAGCAGGTGAATCCATAAAAAACACAAAACTAAGCACAAAATACAAGATGCTAAACAAACTCACTATAAACACAAAGAAAAACATCAACTAACTACATAAACTAAATGGCCTGCCTGTTTTTTTTTGCGGCTCTTTGGTGCTATGGGGCTTACCATAGTGAGTCCAGCCACAAGCAGTGTCATCATCCGCGGTGATTTCCATGATGTCAGTTGAAGGGAAGAACTCCTGCTTTCCACTTGGCAGGGTCACCTTGAACTGGGACAGGAGGCGATATCCCTCCATTAATCTGATCCCATATGGACGGGTCAACACACTCGCTGTACTCACCAAGGAGCCCTGCTTCTGTAATGTTGGGGCTGGTAAGGCAGTGAGGAGACAGGATACAAGTGCGAGGGTTCTTTATTTGATTAAGTCTCAGGTGAAACAGGAAAGCAAGCAGGAATATAGATAAACAAAACTAAACACTAAACACAAGATACAAGATACTAAATAAACTAGCTATTAACAAAAAGAAAAACATGAATGAGCTGGGAGACAAATATCATCAATGCTAGCCATAGCAAAGGAGACAAGGCGGTATATACTCACACTAATGACCTGACAGTAAACTAAAAACAGGTGGCTAATGGTGGCAGGGCAAGACAAGAGAGGAGACAGAATCCAAAAATATCCAAAGACACATGTCCAAAAAAACATTATGTGTGAATGCTATTAATGTCTGAGTTTCTAATATGTAATCTGTTGTTGTCAGTAAATTTACCCGCATCCAGCACCTCACTTGTTTGTGGTTTAAACCAAACACTTTTCTGTCAGGGCATGGAAATTGATATTGATATTGATATTGAATGACTTAGAACCCACTATACCCACTGTTAATCATAATATAATTTATAATGATCACATATTTCAGTAACATTTAAAAATATGTGCCACAGACATCACAGGCCTGTTCACATAGGAATGATGATTATTAACTGAGAGGTATACAGTTACAGACTGTACATCTGTACCCCCTTTACCCCTGTTCTTCAGTGGTCAGGACCCCCACAGGACCACCACTGAGCAGATATTATTTGGGTGGTGGATCATTCTCAGCATTGCAGTGACACTGACATGGTGGTGGTGTGTTAGTGTGTGTTGTACTGGTCTGAGTGGATCAGACACAGCAGAGTGGATCAGACACAACAGACATACTGCTGGAGTATTTAAACACCTCAGTGTCACTGCTGGACTGAGAATAGTCCACTGACCAACAATATCCAGCCAACAGCGTCCTGTGGGCAGTGTCCTGTGACCACTGATGAAGGACTAGAGCACAAACTGTGCAGCAGCAGATGAGCTGTCGTCTCTGACTTTAAATCTACAAGGTGGACCAACAAGGTAAGAGTGTCTAATAGACTGGACAGAGAGTGGACACAGTGTTTAAAAACCCCAGCAGCACTCCAGCAGAAATGTACTAAACTGGTGTCAAGAATCTGTACAGTCTGAACATGGTGAATGTAATGTGCTCTATCTCTGAAGACTGACACCTATGAGTTAATGTAAACTAACGTTCAAAGAGCCAGTGGGTAGTAGGACTGCTACTAAAAATAATATGAATAATTGAGTAATGTACGTGATATTTTGACTCTTAATCAAGTAATCTGTGTTTTTTAAAGGCCAAACCATAAATATAGGTTTAATTAAACAGTAACAAACCCTGCACAGCCTTTAAGGGATCTTAAACTACTTTATTGGAAATTAGGGGCCTTGTATAATCATCTGACCATACAATGCATGTAATTTAATGTAAACCTGGATCCTTACGTAGTGAACAGAAAGATGTGTATATGATCAGCATCAGGAGTCAAAACATTTTCTAATATCATGTTTTCCTTTAGTTTTGGTTGTACAGATAATTTCCAGTGATATCGTCAAGCCAGTTCAGAAATAATTTTGGGTTTTGATGAACAAAACAGTAATTTAAGTACTCAAGTAGTAATAAACTACTTATTTGCTCTTACTTGGGTAATTTCCTTTATAAATAGTTTTATTTGTACTCAAGTAAATTATCACTGCAGTAACAGTACTTAAGTAGGGAATAATAAGCACCCTTTTCTGCCCCTGTTGTTCCCAGTTTGTTAAACTTGGCAAGTGAACAGATGTTGTGCACTAAAATATGCAGGAAAAACACAATTTTTGAGTTTGTTCCCTGTAGAGGAAGTGTTAACTTATTTTCACTTAGAAAATCATTTAACCTTAATACCTATAAATAGGTATTAAGGGCTATATTACCATCTACAGATGACCACCCACTCATATAAGGTCACTGTTAAACTTATCACCAGACGCTGAGAACACATATGTGATGTTTAGTAATAGTTCTATTATTGCACTTTGTTATGAGGCATAATGTACAGATGTATATTTGGTGTTCACTGAAACATATGTTTCAGCTGGATCAAGTATGTGTTAATTAACTTGTATAGACTTGCTTTGTCTGAGGTGCTTAATTCAGAAGTGCTTCAAAAGCTTTAGCAGAAATCTCACTTTAAAATGGTCTTTTCATGCTTGGCTTGATTGTGGTAGATATGCTGAAGGAACACAGAACGAGAATGTTTATTTCCCGCTTTTGACTTGCCAGACATGCTGAAACACATCACCTGGTTAGTCTAAAAATGGGCTCTTTCGACAGTTTCATTTACAGGCCAAGAAGTCAGCATTCTCTCTCTTGGAAAATGTGTTGAAGTTCAAGAAATGTTTTCCTTGAGCATTTCTATCCCTTATAATACTTATCATTTTTCATTGTCTCCTTTACTAATCAGCTAAGCAAGCAAGTAATCAGCTAAACTAAACATTAAGGCCCAAGTGATATCAACCATTATTGGGGTCCAGCAAACTGACCAGTATCAGAAAAATTCCCACTGAAAAAGCACAGATAATTAAGAATCTGGCTGGTATTAAGTAACACACTTCTAACATTAACAAAACTGTCAGAAAATTTGTCTTTTTGAAGTTACTTTTAATTTTTGCTTGTATTTCAGTCTCTTTTGCAGTCCAGTCCAAACTAAATGCAGAAAAAAAGGTGCTGTATAAGTACATTTTTGTAGCCTTAGATACAACGATATAAAAGGAGTTTTAAAGGTACACTTTTTTACTTTCCCAGAGGAAGAGTATTTTTTATAAAATAAAAGCCTGGAGTTAAGACAGAGTCTATGGAATCAATGGCTGTGTTTACCAGTTCAATAGAATACATTCTGATTATAGATCTGATATAAGACTGAGGTGTTTATATGCTCCCTCTACTCAACACTCTGATAGAACATCTCTGTTTCCGTGCTCACTACAAGTAATCCGATCCAAAATTACGCACATGTGTAGAGCGTCACTTAGTATACACGTTACCATGGCAACCAGCATCACATGAGTCCAGAGTGAGACGAGCAGCAGTGAGCAGTGTTTGTGGTTTTAATTACTGTAAAATGATGTCAGACTCAGGAAAACGTCCTTCACATGCCCTTATTAAAGAAGGGCGAGAGGAAGACGTCGTGTTCTGAGACACATAAGCTGGACATCCGTCCCACCGCTGTCTTTTAAAGATCAGAGCATAAACTTCGTCTCCTCTGCAGACCAGTTTCTGCTCCGCCATGTTGAACGGTATAAACTTTCACTATGACGTGACGAACATGATCAGAACGGACTTAAACTGTCAGGTTGTGAATGTAATGGGAATCAGGCGTTTACACGGCTATTATTCCTCTATTTAACGGATTATTTACAGGATTACCCACCTCGTTCAATCGGATAGAAATTGTACTCCGAATGGCCTCAATTGGACTAGCCTATTCCGATTGAGGGGTGTATACGTAAATATTCTATTCCGATTGAGCTATTAGTCGGATTATTAATGGATTATCAGGCTGCATGTAAACGTGGCTAATGCAGTTATTGCATTGCAATGATTTCAGGTTTCCTACCTAAATGTTCTGAAAACATGCATTTGAGGGTTCCACTCTAGTGACAACCCTGGAATATGGGGACGCTTGATGCAATCAGATAAATCAGTATCCAACAGATCTTTAGATTTGACCAGTATTTCAAACTTGATATTTGAAGTGATTTTTTTTCACACTTTACTAAAGCAGAATGTTTAGGTGAAGTAAGACTACTGGGTTGAAATGTCTGCATTTCATCAATTTTACTGCATTTATAAGCCTCTACAAATTAATTTTCTATTTTTCTGTAATGCTAATCTTGGTGGATTTACATTTTATAAATGTTTATATTTTGGAATTGGCAGATTTGTATGTGGAAACATTGGCATCCCTACTGAAATGCACAGTTTAGTACTTACTTCTTTTTACTGAGGTTGAATGTTTTGAATGAGGTAACATGTTACAGTATAAAAATACTTTTCAATGAAGTGAACTGATGAAAATTAAGATGTAACAGGAACCAAAAGCTCAAAGAATCCTGGGAAGCTCCACCTGTTCTGCTACATTATATTATATTTATATTATGAGAATTTTACATGACAGTTCAGAACTGAAAATTAAATCTGTCAATTCACAGTTCAGTTCACAAATGTCATTCACATCAGTCAGTGAAAACTAAGCCTTTAAAATGGTTATTATTATTGGTAAGTTGAAGAGAAATAGGAAGAGAAAACTTCTCCATGTAATGTTTTAAAGGAAATAATTTTTTCTCCATCTGGCTATACAGTCCATTACATGCCCTTATTTACTCCCGATGGTGTGAAGTGGACAAATCATCATTATCATTGTCGTTCTAGGTGAGATAATCATCACCACATCATTAACTTCCCCCTCCCTCTTTCTTTCTGTGTAGAAAACCTCCTCTACTCCGGCCCAGGTCCTCTCATCCACCTCCGTCCAGCAAAATGAATGACACATATGCTGTAGTCAACAAGACCAGGCAGCCATCTGCTCCACGCACTGGCCACCACTACGACAATTTAGACTTAGAAAGCCAGAAGAGCCCTAACAATGCTCTGTATAGCACCGTGAAGCCAAAGAACAGGGCCGCCGGGACTCTACCCGTTTACGACAGGGCACTGCCAGTCAACCAGAGGGGGTCAATGCCATCATTAGAGGCAGAGTTCAGTGGCTATGAACCATTACCAGGTGAGGCTCTCTTAATATTCACTTTTCAGTCATGTTCAGTCCTGCTCACGTGTTCACACTTAACTAAATGTAGTTTGTGTTAAATGGAATTGCACGATTGTTCTACATTTTTGTATAATTTAATAGTTGAGATGAAAAAAGTTGTTTCATAGTGGTTGAAATGGCTTCTTTACAGTGGTGGTGATAGAAACCAGGGGTCACAGTGTCTAGAGCACAAATATAGGCATTTTGTTTACTTTTCAAAATGACCAATGAACCTACACATGTCTTCTGATCTTTTATATCGATGCTGTTGGAACAAAACCTTGTAACTCCAAAATGTTAACTTTACAGGAGAAAGAAAAAACATACTTTACTTTTAATGTATGTCAATGGAACCAGACCTCTTTCCAAGTAATTTTGGGCCATTTCTTTTGGTCCATTTATCATGAATTTAACATACCATGTAAAAGGAAACAAGCATTTTTAAATTATGTCAAACTGAAAAATGACAGAAATAGAGAATCGCTTTTAGAGGCATTAAACTCTTCAGACGTCCGGTTCCAATCACCACCACTGTGAGCAGTTCCGAGAATGACGCATTTCAGATCAGACCTCTCTGAATGACTTTATTTACATCTTAACTGTTTAATTATGCAGAAATTTTGAATTCATCTTTAAAGTGGGCATTGTGCCTTAACGCTCAGGAGCCTCAAGTCAATCTTTTTTCCTTTTTTTTTCTTTTTTCTTTTTGCGCAAAGACTATTATTTTCTCATCTTGCAAACATTCAACAGATTGGAGTCTGCACTTCTGATATGTTTCTGTTTGTTTTGATGTCCAGGTCTGACAAAATTGTGGCAAAAATGTAAACAGTAGTTCGTCTTTCCGCAAAACAAGACTGTACTCAATGCCAACTTTTCTTCAAATTCAAAATATAATAAAACATCTCCTCTTCTTCCTACAAACACAAACATGGTATCGAAAGTTGCCGTATATCGTGATATTGAACGTTCAGAATCTGCACTTGGAACAGAATTTATCGCTTGTTTCAGTGAGCTACAAGTGAGAAATTATTAATGATTAAAATTAAACATGTTTTTATCACTGGCAATAAAAACGACATTTAAGAATCTTATCAAGAAAATACAGGAAGTTAAACTTGCTCTGTGGAAATAAACATAGCCAAACATCAGCATCTAGTTCTGCATCTGATGAATACATTTAGCCAGAGTCACACATGGACGTTTGAGTTTAACTCTTGCAAGTTCCCCTTTAAAGAGGTGTAAATGTTTAGTAAATACCAACCTCGACGTTAAAACTAGTTTGTGTGGTGCAACTCATTTTGATTTAGTAATCTAGCCTGTTTTTGGACTTACACACAGCTGGTGGAACCAGCCAATGGTTCCTGTCGCTACCACGGTGAACAATTCTGACTCGGTGAAGTTCTCTAGAACCACATCACCCTACTCTGAATTTGTGCCCACATTAATGGTTTCATTATATTTCATATATTATTTGTGGAATTTCCCTTTAATGCCACACCGGTGATTTCACTGTTTGCTTTGAGCGGACTGGCGTGTGGAACAGCGCGGGTTTACCTCTGTAAGGATGTGTAACGCATCCGTGAGTCTGCTTGGAAACTTCAGTTTGAACAGTTTTTATTCCTCTGCCCTCTTCCTTACTTCGCTATTTGCATTGCTTCCTTTCATGTGATCTTCGGGGTATTCAGAGCGGCAGGGTTTGATGTTTATTCTCTTTCAGTGTGAAAGTGTTTAATTACATCTCCAAAGGAACGCTAGCCAGGAAACAGGTGCGACTTTCTATCTAGGTAAAAAAAATGTTCACAGAAAGAGAGAGAGAGAGAGAGAGAGCATTAACGAGTCTGAAACAGCACCATGTTTTTTAGAGTAGACATACAGACTATTTTTGTACAAGAGAAGTTGCTTTTTTTCTACTTTTAACCCTTAAAACTCGAGAGCTTTCCACATTGCTGATGCTAATGCTTTTTGCTTTGGCTGCAGTCATGGAGCAGTTGAGCAGCTGGGCTTCAGGCTGGAACTATGGGTGGTTTGAATGGTCCAATGAGTAAAATGCAGTTAATAATGCTTTTTGATAGCACTTATAATAATGCAGTTACATATTTAATCACATACTGAGTTATGCAATTAATTACATTTACATTTCATTTTCATTCTGTATCAGCAGGTTCACATGACTTCTGTTTGCTTAGGTGTCAAGAAATACCAAAAACTCGCCATAAATATAAAGTTTCTTTCCGAGAACAAGAGTGTACACACAACAGTAAACTCACCAAACTAAATTCATAATGAAATATCTCCTCTTCCACTTACGAGCACAAATGTAGTATCGCTCAAATGTTTGAAATCTGTCATTTTGACAGAAAACCTCCCCTTTTTTAATAAGAGAGAAATAATTGATATATAATTACACTATGCTTTTCTTTTTCACCGGGAAGGACCTGTGCTTTATAAGGGTTAAACGATCTCAAACTGTTTTCAAATATAGCTTGTTTGCTCAAGTTCGTAATCGTGTTTGGAGTTTTTCATCTTTTACTTTTGGTTTGGTTGGCTTCACACCGCAGAGGCTAAAGTGCACGAAATGATATACACAGGTTTTCGTTGATCAGAAATTTGGCAGAGATATAAACAACTATTTCCTGTTTGTCTTTTCAAAATTGTACAAGATTATCGTTGTATAACATCAAAATCTATCTTCTGAAATATTCTTGATGTTTAGTCACATGCAAGTTTGAATACCCTTGGTTAAATTGGTTTTGTTGATTTTTTAGGGGAAAATAAGTTAACACTGCCTCGACAGAGAACAAATTTAAATGGAATTCATGCTAAATTTAGTGGACAATTTCTGTTCTTTAATTTTACAGATTGAGATAAAAACCAGAAAATATGAAAAGGTGCCATAACTATTTTTTCCAATATGTTAAATTCAGCAAATAAACAATAATTGAGCATTAAAATGTACAGACGTGTTCTGTAGAGGAGGTGTTCACTTATTTTCACTTAGAAAAACAGCAACACGTTTTTAACCAATGTGGTCAGACTTTTGCATACAGCTATAAATATATTATCCTGTCCATTGCACTACATGGAAATTGAGATGCTTGATGTCACATTGTTCCGCATCAAATAAGGAAAACACCTAGCAGGCTGTCTCACACATAAAGTGTATTTAGCTGTATTGTCTCTTACAGTGTCCAATAATGTCAAGAACATTGTTCTCTCTACTCTGAAATGAATGATTCTCCTAATGAAAGGCTAAATAATTACCAGATGAGTTGATTCAGGTGTGTAAACTGTGTAGGGCTGTGGTTCTTATTGATTACGTTGGAGTGCCACTGCTGGTACACACAGCTGGCTTGAATATTGAGGCTCTCGGCTCGCTGTCCTGCAAGGCCACAGCACTGCACAGTTTAATATTTCCTCTGCTCTGACGCATGTGATTCAACGTCGCTTAACCACAAGTTGAACCAGTGTGTTACAGGGCTGAACAATAAAACATTTGGTAGTCGTTATCACAATATTCAAAATACTGGTCTTTGCAATACTGATTTCACAGAAGGCTGCAATAATTGAATGAGCCCTTAATCAATCTCAGTGTGTGCTGTGAGCATCGTGACCAATCACCGTTCCAGATGAGAGGTGTGATGCGTGAAAGTATTCATATAATCCAAGAAGAGAAGATGTTTTTGGTCAAAACAATGCAGAATAAACTTTAACCATATCACATTATAGATTCTCCAATCACAGTGTGTATTAATATGATCACAGTAGTATAATTTTAGTTTAGTACAGTATAATTTAGTATATTATAGTACAATTTTATCCATATTATGCAAGATTTTCTGAAATGTCAGCATAATATAATCTTTGAGATGTAAATTTCAAGTGGTTCATTGTAGAAAAACTAACCAACACATCTTTCTTTAGAGTGGTGTTGATAGGAACCAGGAGTCACACTGTCTACAACACAGATATAGCCATTTTATTTACTATCCAAAACCACCAGCAAACCTACATGTGTCTTCAGAGTTTTTATGAATCACTGAACATGGAAAAAAGATAAATCTGAAGAAATATGTTTTTGGGGGAGGGGGAGGGGCTGTTTTTCTTTACAGTGCCCTGCATGTACCCTTTCTGCCATGAATGTATTTTTAAAAACGTTTTAGGCCAAACGTTCTCAAAATGATCATAGAACAGTATCAGGCGGCATATCACTGCTGTCAGAACAAAACCTTGTATCTCCATTTTGTGGAATTTTATTTTTCTACACCATTTTAACGCACCATCTGTCCTTTATGGTGTGTGAAAAATTCATGATTGGACAAAAAGAAATGCTCCAAAATCAATTGGAACAACATCTCTTTACATTAACTAACCTTAAATAGTAAGAGCGTTTTTGCCCTCTACTGTAAACTATTTTGGAGATACATGTTTTTCTTTGGACAGTGATAATATTCATAATCATTTCAAGTAATAACTTCCTGTGAAGGTGCTTTAAATGGCAGTGAACACCTTGAGCGTCTGGTAACTATTATTATCACCACTAACAATTCTGACTCAAGAGTTTTTGTAGAGTGGTGCATTTCAGGTCATACAACTCTGAATGCCTTAGATTACATCTTCATAACTTCATTATACAGACATTTTGAAAAATCAGTGGAAGAAAAAATGGTAAACTGTCTTCTCCAGGCTTAGTTTAAATCTACAACTTAGTGTATCAGATTCAGAGATTTTGAAATCAGAGCCTAATTCATGTCATGTTATCTTTTAAAATCTGCCATATTCATATCATATTTTAAGGGAATAGCATTAAAACAGTTCATATTTCCTTTTCTATCCATCGTTTACATGTGCTTTTTGTTTTTATTTTCTCTCTAGCGGAGTTCCGGGCCAGAAACTCACAGGTAAAATTCACTTTCACACTGCACATCTTGAAGCTCCTGTTAGGAATTGCCAAAATTATTTAAGTATGAGTTTAAAGGAACCTGTTGTTGCATTACCATAAACTGGCAAATGAATGCAGTCATTCTTAACTGGAGCTTTAAATCTTTTCACTGTGTATAGATCTCTAATTATACAGCGGGCACCCATGGTCAAAATGCATGTTTTGTTGATTTTTTAAGTGAAAATAGGTAAATACATCCTCTATAGATAACACACACACTTTTGCACATTTTAATGCACAATCACTGTTTATTTGCTGGATTTATCACATTGAAAAAAAAAAATGATGGCACATTGTGTGTTTTATGTTTTATTTTTTTCTAACATGTTAAATGAGACAAATAAATAGGAATTGTGCACTGAACTCTCCTGAAAATGCCATATTTAAGTTTGTTCCCTGTAGAGGATTTGTTAGCCTAGAAAGTAATTTAGAAAATCACTGAAAACATATAATCTGACCGGGTGTTGAAACTATTGAATGCAATAGTTTCATCTCCAGCTGGCTGTCTGTTATTCTGTATTCATACAGTTCATAAAGTCAAGTTTATCAAGAATCCCATCTGCACTCCAATCCCATCTTTGATCTGTGAATATTGTGTCACTGTTTTTATTCACAATTTATCAGCCAGTCTGACAAATGACGGCTCATAAACAATCTCAACTGCTCTCAGTCTTTGTCTCAGTCTGTACTGTACAGTTAAAGGTAATTGTTATGATAACTGTGCAATCCTGTAGCTAATAAATTGTCCTTTTCAGACGAGGCTGACTTCAGTCATTCTCTCCATTTTCACAGTTTGTTCATATTTTGCTCTTCTTGTCACTCTGTCTTCCTGTGGAAGGAAGTATGAAGCTGTTTCTTGGTTTTCAGACTGTGCGAAGACACACTGTGGTGCTAGTTAACAACACCTAGCTTGTATAGGACTGTGAGAACTCAGAGACCACCCTTCATTTACTGAATTTCAAATCATGGGCATTTCATTCAATGGACGTTCAAAGTCCATTAAGTATTCACTGTTCATTTTCTGAAGATATTTATGAGGAGATCAGATATGAGACCTCTAAAACTGTCCTCATCAGATAAACAGTACTGAAGTCTGTGTAAAGCAGTAATAAATAGGTGTTCTGAGTTCGTTGCAATGCAGAAAAATGTGTTACTAACCACCCAGACAAACTTGAATGATTAAAAAATGACCAAGTATCCAAAATCGGGTTTCAAAATGGTGAAAAACTGAGCAGTGCTCTGCTCTGAAACGCTGGGGGCATGTCCGCTGAAGGCACTGAAACTATGCTTAATCGTGGGAAAGGTGCAGACTCTCTCAAAACTTCAGCTTCATTTTCGCCAGAATGTAACTGCGGCACTGTTTAAGGTGGAATGGGAAAATTCCAACAAGAAGCTGGCGAATAGAAAGCCAACTTTAGCTTCAGAGTAACATTAACTCGCTCACTAGTTTGGGCAGCAAAGCCTCTCTTGGATTAAAATATACCCACCAGCAGCACTTCACCTGACACACAGAATTCACCTTTATTTCAGTGCAGCTCTCAAAGTGTCAAATACCACTACGACCTGAAAAATGGACGCTCGTCTAGCAGCTTTATTGAACTGTACAGCCGTACACGTTTGAGCAGCCAGAGGAGAATCAACCTCATTCCTCTCAGTCTGCAATAGAATGGTCATTTTTTTCTCCCATCTATGCAAATTAGCAACAGGTATTACTGACTAGCATAACCTGGCTGAATAAAGTTAGGCTATCAATCAATAACATAGAACAAAATATATTGTGCGATCAAGCGGGAGGATGCTAATGCGCTTTTTATACCATTATAGTGTTGGGGAGGGTTCATGCTAAGTATGGCTGCAGGGCGTCATCGAGTCATGATTTCAGGCCTACCCAAAAAAATATGAACACAAAAATGCTGAAAAACAGTTAAACGGTCTAAAATGACTCTTCAGTACTACATAGTTCACAGTCTTTTTACATGTTTTCAGCAGTTATTTAGAAACAAAACTCTGAATGTCCTTTACACGGACTTTAATCTTTAAGAGGGAGGAGAAAATCAACCACTCTCCACTCACAACACTAGTTGTAGAGAAATTGTGACTGTGCATAACCGTGCAAGAGCTGGCAGACCACCAAAACTGTCCCTATCAGATAAACAGCACTTAAAGCTTACAACTTTTTGAGAGAGAGGAGAAAATCAAGCTGCTTCAGATCTGGAAAAATCCACAGGTGTTTCTGTCCATCTTTCCACTGTGAGAAGACAACTCAGCACTATGAGTCTGAAAGGATGTGTAGCCACCCCAGAGTCCAGACTTCAGCATCACTGAATGTATTTGGTATTATTTGGATCGTGTGAAGCAGAAAATGCAACCAACTTCTAAGACTGAATTGTGGAAAACAAAGCAAGTGTCCTGAAAAGAATGGAAAGCAAAGGGTAGACACACTTAATACACTTTTTTACTACACTTACTATGACTTATCTTACTATATTTACTATAGCTTATACTTAACGGCTTGGTTTTGACTGGAAATCACATAAATGAATGGTGCTCTCTGACCTCTGCACAGTGGTGTACCTAATAAACTGGCAGCTCAGTGTAGTGTGGATTTAGAGTGTAGCTTAACCAACATAGTGATACATTCCTGTCCACACAGTGATGATTGTGATAGTTTATTATATTTTTGATAGTGTTGATAATGTGTCACAGATAAAGACGTACAATAAATGTGTTAATCTTTTGTGTCCTACAGCTGCAGCCACCTCCGACTCAAGGGCCTTGTAAGTACTTCACAGATTTTTGCATTCAGATTAAAAAGCTCTCAGCTGGGAGACACTGCATTTTAAAAATGCTGTAATTGGGCATATGTTAGAGTGAAAAAAGAAAATAAAGCATTCATTACCAACTCAAGCACAATGACAGTACACTGACGGAGCCTGTGTGATGTCAGTCTGAGCTGAGCTGCTGGTGGAGTCATCTTCCCTCTGGAGACTCCTTATCAACCGCACGATTGTGAAGTGCTGTAAAAGAAATAAACAGGAAGAAGTGTTAGATTAGTCTCAGTTTCTATCTCTCTTTTCACTCTTTCTCTCTGTCTCTGTCTACTTTTTCACACCTCGTTCAGTAAAGTATAGCCAACCTGTTTTGCTTTGTATGTTGCCTCCTCAGCTGACGGTAACGGCTCCTCAGAAGATGATTACGAGTACGTCACCAACCCGATCCGTGACAGCAGCAGCAGCAGCAGCTACTGTAGCCCCGGTGGACTGGGTGAGGAATCGCCATCGCCACTCACCAACATTACACGCTACACTGAGTTGCCAGTTTATTAGATCGACCAACCTTACTCACATTCATTTGCCATTTTATTAGGAACACCAGTAGCACTTTTCATTAAAACTACCTTTATAAAATGTATCTGAATGGTTTACAATTACTGTGTTAATGGTTATCGATTAGGTCATAAAAGATCACTGATAAGCAGTTATAACTAATAGTGGCCTGCTGCTTTCCAGATAATGAGCCCACGTTCATCTATGCTGTTAAACCTCAGATACATGTCATACTTTGTTTTCTTCGTCAGTCAGCGTTATAGCTTCAGCAGTCATTCATAATCATCAGATACTACAGGTCACTGTTGCCTTTGTGTTTATGTGGTATAACTGCTTATTGTTGAATTTTGAAGACTCCTGCACTCATAAATGTGTTTTTAACGGTGTGTTTTAACTCCTTAAAATGTGTTTTAACTCCTCTTGGGTGATTTATTATGGTTATATAAACTGATACCAAAATGTGTAGAAACAGGGGTTTTAATAGTGTTGGGATTTAGGAACACTCCTAGGCCGATTTTAGCAGTTTCCTGGGTGTAACACTAACACATGAAATAATTATCAATTTATTATTGAATTTTTTTATGGTTTAATTCATGACTTTAAGGGTACTTTAAAGTTTCTGTGACCCAAATAATAATAACATCAATAAACTCAGTGTAAACCATCCACAAGTCCTTTGTAAGGGTAGTCTAATTACTTAGTACTGAAACACCTACCAAATAGGTGCACTTATAGGTGACTGTTGCCCATCTGCACAGTTTGTCAGACCCCCACCCCACTTTTTATGAGCGTATTGTTATTTGATCCTTTGTTTCATTATTAATTTTTATGATTTATATTATTAATATTTACACTCTGCTGTGCGATGTTGCAATGTGTGAGTTTAAAAGTTTGTATTAAAATGAGTTGTAAATTAAAAGTTTCGAAAGAATTTGTTTCTACCAGAACAACTTCAGTGATGCCTCAAGCTGCTGCGAGTCTCTTTTGATGAACATGAAACTCCTTTTACACACTGTTCTCACTTCAAAACCCAACTTGAAAACCTCAAACGATATTTTGGTATTTCCTTTCATGTATCTACTAGTGTCTTGTGACAATCATTAACTGTTAAGTTGTTGCTCATGTTTGTTTTTTTGGGCCTTCAGGTTTTAAGTGCCGAATAAAGAAACCCAAAGGACCTCGGGACCCCCCAGCAGAATGGAATCGGCCAGAGAGATGATCGTCAACTTCTGTAAAAAATAAAAAAAATACGTACATGTATATATATATATATATATATATATATAGAGAGAGAGAGAGAGAGAGAGAGAGAGAGAGAGCACTGTACAAAAGTCAAGAGGCTTTTATTTCATTTCCATTCAAAGAGGCCATTAATTATAAATTTGTTTTTCAGTGCATGTTTAGCACATATTTAACAGAAAATTAAACAAAAGCCTCCAATGCAGAAAACACACTTTCGCATTTGTACAGCACACTGCACTACATTTTAATGCACAATTACTGTTTATTTGTTGAATAAATAGAAATCATATGCCTAAAGGTGCAAGCTCGTTCTCTTTAGAGGCTGTTTTAACTTATTTTGACTTCACAAAACATGCGATTTGACCAAGGCTGTTTAACCCCTTAAAATCCCAGGCTTAGTATATACTAAGTCTTATTATTCAGTAACTACAGGGACTTCAATGCAAACTGGTTGAGCAATTCTTAGGTTATAGAAGTGTGTCATATGGGTCAGGCCCTGGCCATTTAAAGGATTTAACCTTTGGAATACACCTGTAGTTGCTGAGACTTCTGTGTTGTTTTCTGTAAAATATGGTTTCCTCTTTTCTTCCTAATGCTGAAAAATGAATAGCCAGGAAATTGAATGAATGAATGTGTGGTCTCTGACTTTTGCACAGTGCTGTATATGTGTCCCCTGACAATCCATATCTTTGCATTTGTGTTACCTGGCTGTTATAAGGGATGGGGTTTGTACTTTAATGTGTAGTGTGATAGAGTTTGACAATTTGATGTATATGTCTAATTTATTGTAATTGGTGTGATCTATAATAAATATGTATGTTTTATAGATTAACTGTTGTGTGTCTGATTTTGTCAGGAGTTCTGCTGTCGTGATGCACTGCTCTTACCAGTAGAGGGCACTGTTGAGGTATAAATGCGCTGCCTGGATTGCTCACAAACAGAGGAGCAGGTAAATTAGGTCACCTGCATAATTTGCACAGCAATACATTCATTTGGATAGAATATGATTCATATCTAGTTTCTCACCCTTCAAATTTCATGAATATATGCGTTAATTAGATCATTAAACAGGCCAGCAATTCAGCACAGAGGTTGCGTCAGAAACGGAACATTCCGGTCAGAAATCACAGCTGCAAAGACCTGTGACCTGTGACTCTGCAGCTATTATGTTTCAGTCATGGAAATCTCTGGAAAACCAAGTTTGAGTCTATGCAGAAAGCATGCGTTTATCCAGATGCATAGCCACAGACACCAGATCGGGTTCTGTGGCCAGACAAACCTGGGAGGTTCTAGGCTTTCAGTGTCTGGGACTGCTGATCTGGTGTCAGTTGCTTAATGAAAAATAAACAGCAGTGCGAGGAGAGAACTGATCCTCGATCAGCAATTCAGCTCTGAGCCACATGATACATTTGGTTATGATACATGTGCAGTAATCTGAGAGCTTATTTAACGCACACTGTTTGAAATATTGTTTAATATACTCCAGTGCAGTCTGGCCGGCTATAGAGTTTCATAAGTGCAGGTAATGCAATAAGCATGAAATTCTGCGCCTATTGGACCTAATCGTTTCTCGGTGGTCGCAGACAGTAAACAATGATAAACGTTTATCGTCATAAACGTTCTGGAGCTATAATTGTTCCGTAGTGCGTGATGCTCTATGTTTGCGATTCATCAGATACAAATGAATGTGAGCCGCTTCACTCAGAAAATGACCGCGCAGTTCTTTGGCAAAGAAAGCCGGCTATTATGTGAAATGATACTCCAGCAAGTGTTTTAGCCTCCTGGGTTTTGTATGGGTTCACAGTAGCTGGGGGAGGCTCTGTTTTCTCTTTGTTCCATCAGCAGAATCAGTATTCATGAAGCTGAGCGTTGGGTCCATATTGATCAAGAGAAGAGCTGCTCATTTGGAATCAATTGCTCCTCGTCCAGATTATATCATATTATTATTACTATTATTCATTTACGAGAGCAAGAAGTGATCTAGATCAGTGTTTTTGTTTTCAGCCTTAACAGCTGCATGTCTGTGGTTATCTGGTTCTATATTTATGAAGAATTACATCTAAATATAAGAGATGTATTATCTGTTTAACACCATTAAAGCAATCGTTGGGCAGAAATTCAAATGTACACAGTTTCCCTCTCACGCTAGATGTAGTCAATCAGTCAAGGCATGTTTGGGGTCTGAAGTTTGCTGCTTTGTGATATGTGATGATTTAGCCATGCAGAGTAAACTATGCTAACTGGTGGCTATAAGCTTCCATTATTTAGCGACATTAGCCTCCAGTGCAAAACAAAATGAGCAAACTTCAGAACACCAAACGTGTCTTGGATGATGGACTACATCTAGGGAGACAGAGGTGAGAAGGAAGAGTGAGAAACAGGAGAGAAACAGAGAGAGATAAGAAAAATGGTGGTAGAAAAGGGGAAAAGAGAGAAGATGGGGAGAGAGAGAGAGAAACAGGAGAGGGAGAGAAGAGAAATGGTGGTATGAGAGGGGGAAGAGCCAGAAGAGAGAGAGAGAACCACAACAAAGAGATAAACAGAGGAGAAGGACAGAAACAGGAAAGAAAGAGAGAGATAAGAGAAATGGTGGTAGGAGAGGGAGAAGAGAGACAGAAGGAAGAGAGTCAACCACAACAAAAATAAACAAGAGAGAGAGAGAAAAACAAGAGAATTAAAGAGGACCGAGAGCAAGGAGAAAAAAACATGAGAGGAAAACAAATTAGGAAGAGAAAGAAAAAGAAAGGAGAGATGAAGAGAATAAAGAGAAAGGAAAAGAGCAAGAATGAAACATGGCTGATGGACTAGATTTAGAGAGAGAGAGAAAAGAGAAATGGTGGTAGGAGAGGGAGAAGAGAGACAGAAGGGAGAGAGTGAACCACAACAAAGAGATAAACAGAGGAGAGAGAGAAAAACAAAAGGAGAGAGAGAGAGAGAGAGAGAGAGAGAGAGGAACAGTAGAAGGTGAGAGAAGCAGGAGGGAGAGAGAAATAAACAGGAAGGAGAGAAAATGGAAAGAGGGAGCGAGAAAAACAAGCAGGAGAGAGAAAAATGAGGAAGGGAGAGAAAAAGAAACAAGAGAATGAAAGAGGACAGAGAGCAAGGAGAAGGAACAGGAGTGAAAAAAAAGTAACAGGAGAGAATAAAGAGAAGGGAAAAGAGCAAGAATGATAAACAAAAGAGGAAGACAGAGAGTCTGCAGAAATCATAGAAACAAGAGGAGAGAAAAACAGGAGGGAGAGAGAATAGAAGAGGATGAAGAATGGGAGAGACAGAACAGAGTGAAAAACAAGAGGAAGCGCCAGAGAGAACCAAAAGAGGGAGAGAGAATGAAAGAGGATTGAAACAGTAGAGAGACAGAGAGAGAGAGAAACAGGAGAAGGACTGAGGAGAGACAGGAGAAGCAGACAGACAGGAAAAGAGGATGTAGAGCAAGAGAAAGAGAACAGAGAGATTGGGAAACCAAGATAGTAGGAAATGAAAGAGGGACTGAGAGGAACAAGAAGCAGAGAGACCTAAAGAGGTTGCAGAGCAGGAGAAACAGCAGAGAGTGAGAAACAAAAAAGGGAGGGGGAACTAAAGAGTAAGAAAAAAAGAAACGGAGGAGAGAGAGAGAGAGAGAGAGATGTATGCAGGGGTTGAACTAATGACTGCTCTGATAGCGCTGGTGCCTGTAGGGTATGTGTGGTGTCCTCTGGGCTCGCTGGCTGGGTAATCCCATTCAGCTCATGCTAATGTGAAACCAGAATCTAATGACCTTCTGCCATGGCTTTTCAACCTGAGCCTACAGCAATCTCTTAGCAACCCCTCAACCCTCCTCATGTAGCAACGCCACCCCCACAGAGACACACACACACAAGCAACCGAGTGTCAGGAGACTCGCTCGTCTTAAAGTTAAAACGCTCTGCGAACACGCTAACCGCAAAAAGATACAGGGCTATGGGGAAAATGATATTTTTATTCAGCGGAAAAAACATGAAATATCTTGTGGGGTGAGACGCGAACCCCAGCGCTGCAGTTCAGCACTGTTACTGTACACTGAAACAACATGTACATCATTTCCACATGAATAAAATATATTACACCAACACAGTTTTGTCTCTCAGTTTACTTACATATGGCAATAACTGTGTTGATGTCATACATTATATGCCATGCAGGGGAGGGCAGGGCGCAATCTAACACATTTAGTTTGTTTTCATGATAAATGTGAAACTATTTGAGCAAGATTTGCACATTTTTTATACAAGCAACCCACACATCTCTGCCACAAATGAAAATGTAAACTTTCCAGTACCTGCTGTTTATAAAAAATTCAGCCGAAAGTGATGCGAGTGCACGTTTTTCATTTCAGCATATAGGTGGGGTTTGTTATAACAGGGGCAAGTGACAGTAACAGTCGCTTTAACATCTAGGGAAAACAGGGCAAAGCACAATTATTTCAATACAATTCTAGCTTTCCAGCCTAAATATATAAAAATATATGCATCAAACAAAGCAGATACATGTGACCACAAAGCACAGCAGCAAATATTAGCTCAGGGGTCAAAACATTCAACAAAAATCAAACCACTTTGGGAGCCACAACATTTTATGTCCATTTTACCATATTGGCTGTAAATATGTCACAATATGTATGTGCTAATGTTCTAGTACAGGTTAAAAATCGAATATAAATGAAAATGCAGACCTACTTTGCTCTGCTTTAAGCTTTAGCTCAGCTACATACGCTCTTCTCGCATCTCCGGCAGGAAACTTTTCCTCAGAAGTGCTGAAATCAGCTTCTCATTCGCCAGCATTTTGTTAGATTTTTCCGGTTCCACCTTAAATGCTGCCTGGGGTGCCAGAATGTAAGTGCTACCCCACTTAAGGTGGAACAGGACAATTTTAACGATCTTAACGACTTAATCTTAAATCTTTCTCTTTGCCTTTTTTCGTTAGCTACTAGCTAGCCTAGATTGTTGTCATTGCTATAGTGACCAGCAGTCTGTGCACCAACCTTGAGGGTTAAAGGGTGAATTAGCAGTTCT